GCGCCTTCCGTTGGTTTTGACAGTATTATCAAGAAGCAGCCAGTCCAGAAAGAAATGGCAAACTACTGGAGGTAAATTTGCCTTTAAAAAACCCACAACAGTCAAACAATGCTAGGGCTGGTTCTGCAACGTTCTGTAAAGGATAACTTTTAACTATAAAATGCATCTACAATCTAAACGGGGATCTTCTTTTTTTTTTCTTCTTCTTCTTCTTCTTCTTCTTCTTCTTCTTCTTCTTCTTCTTCTTCTTCTTCTTCTTCTTCTTCTTCTTCTTCTTCTTCTTCTGCTTCTTCTTCTTCTCCTTCTTCATCGCGGCTTCTTGCTTGTCTTTACACGCATAAAGTTCACGAAAGCAACCAACCATGACAGGGCCGGTTTTACAAACAACTGTTTGCGACATCTTCTACATACGATGACGTCAACATCAGTGCGGCGAACAGGGTCACAACCTAACCTTCACACAAATCCACACAACATCGCATTAATCTTAGTACAGCTACTTAACCTTTGAGTAAATGAAAGGTTAAATGTACAACAATAAAAACATAGATATTTGCAGCCATTGTTTGCTGTAAACAACCGGGTCTAGTCGGTCACATAGCCGCGCTACAGGCAGCAGACCAACCTGCCTGCACACAGCCATCGCCTGCCATGGGAAAATCCCAAAATCGTTTTATGTTTACCACTCTTTCAGTTCTCATTTTAATCTTCGCGAGGCGAGAGCGCTGTTGGGTAGAATGTAAGTGTTCAACACGTCGTTACTCTCCTTCTTCGTTTTCTTCGTTTAAAATGAGTTTGATTGAACAGGGGCATCTTCGCAGTTGCTGGAACATCCTCTCTTGAATGCTGCAATATCCTCTCTTAGATGTTGCAACATCCTCTCTTAGATGCTGCAACATCCTCTCTTAAATTCTGCAACATCTTCTCTTAGATGCTGCAACATCTTCTCTTATGTGCTGCAACATCTTTTCTTAGATGCTGCAAAATCCTTTCTTACATGCTGCAATATCTTCTCTTAGGTGCTGCAACATACTCTCTTAGATGCTGCAACATCCTCTCTTAGATGATACAACACCCTCTCTTAGATGATACACAGATAGTATCATTACAGTTAATGAAAAGAAGGAAACATCTATTTAAAGGAAAACTAGAACAAGTCAGCTACCCAACTGAATCAGTCACGGATAACAATACGAACGTTGCGACTAAAAAGCTTCATCGGCACATAAATCAGACAACGAAGCAATTGCATAACACAACAGACCATCGTCTGGAAAGACAGAAAGGTGCCAATCATAACACCATATACTTCCTATTCTATGAAGCCTGTCACATCCACAACCACGCTTGAGCAACAAAGGCTACGCCCTAGCTCGTTGTCGCGAGAGTCAGAGATCATGAGCACCCAGGTGCCGCCGATTACCAAAATGAATATATGCAATAATTATTTAAGCTTTTTAATAATTAGTAGGTTTTCTCAAATTCCATGGCCATGAAAACTGACCTGGCAACAACAGCTCAGAAATATTCTTCTTCTGCTTCGCGCCCACCTGCTGTAAACTCGGGCGGAAGGTTCTGTAATTGGTCGCCTACTTCTGTATTTTAGTCTTCTTCCAGTGTCTATTACTTGAGTTTTGCGTACACATCCGTTTTACAGATCTGGCTTGTTTGTACGCATACTGTTGGTTCGATGCCTCTCAGGCAGACGCACGCTGACTTGGAAGAAAACCCTTGTATAGACTACTCTTGAGACATGCATGTGGGGGAGACAATGGGACTAGTCTTGTCCCCCACCCTTCCCTAACCCCAATGGGAGCCCCGAAACTCACACAGGGATCGGACATATTGCCCACATGGCATGACGATTTGTATTTCTTAATTTTGTGAAGTGCAGGAACATTCAATGACAATAATCAACCACTGTACTTGTGATGACTTGATCACCTCATTGAGTCACTTCAATGGTTTATAGCAAACCTCTGTTCCAGATGCGGAAGCCCCATCCTGTAGATTATTGTTGAGTCAGTCATGTGTTATTAGTTAGATTATCCTTTATGGCACTCCAGACACGTCCAATGGTGCTCAGATTCTTCCTCAGATTAATAATCAATGGTTAAAGGTGCTTGTACAATGCTTGTTGACAAGACATCTCGTGTACGTGGTGTGCCTCTCGTGCCTGACTATGCCAAACTTTACTCGCACTCTTAGTAGCGACGTGGCCGCAGTGCTCCTAGAATCCTCCGATTATACTTTTCTCTCTAAGTCAGCGTCTGAAATTTGAGATACCAGGTTTGATTCCAGCTGTTGTTGATTTGGCAGCAGATCGCTTCTCGTTGATTTGACAGTGGAATCAAGAGGCGAATTTTCTCAGGCAATGATAAACTACTGAACTGAAAAGTGCCATGTTTCCCGTGTGAGTTCCGGGGCCCCATTGTGGGGGAAAATAAGAATAGACCAACTGCCTCCCCAAAAGCATGTCGTAAGAGTCGACTATTTGGAGAGCTTCCTTTGAAGTCGGAGTGCATCTACCGGAGAGGCAAGGAACCAACAGTCTGTATTCAAGAGAATAATATCTGTAAAACTGATGCACTGGCAACACTCAGGTTCTGGAGCAGGACTGAGGTTCAGTAGTGGACGAGCAACCAGAACTTTCCGCCAGAGTGTACAGCTGGTGAACGCGAAGAAGAAGAAGAAGAAGAAGAAGAAGAAGAAGAAGAAGAAGAAGAAGAAGAAGAAGAAGAAGAAGAAGAAGAAGAAGAAGAAGAAGAAGAAAAGTGCCCTGTAAAACTGGAAAAAAAAAAAAAAACGCAACTCACTAAGGGTATTAACAAAGCCGGAAATCTGCAACAATAGCATAGCCAGACAGTCTGACTGATCTTTCAGTGCCAACAACAGGCGCATGCTCCACGACAAAGATGGTAACCCCACTCAAAGTCAGTATTTGCTGTGCCTTATTTTATTGCACGTGCAATTTCTATATTTTTATTTTATATGAGGGGAATAATCTAAACAAACAATTCTAGTTATATGAAAATAATTACTTCCCTTCTTAATCAAACAGAACAAGAAGGAAATTAGTGGCCCAGAGGCAAGAAAAACCAATAACTCACAAGCTAAAAGAAGAAAGAAAAAAAGGAGGGGAAAAAAGGGGGCGGTGGGGAAGGCAGTCTTTATCTGTTGGTTTGTAGTCCTATATATGGTTCTTGAGTCATCAGCAGACAGAGTCGGTTTTGCGAGAGCAGATCCGGCACACAAACATGTACACAAAATTTGAAAACATTTACTTTGTCCCTAACCTGCACAATCCATGTCCTGTAAATCTAGTCATCCCATTGTGGGATGAGGTTTTACATTATCCGAAGCCCCACCCTGGCTCTTGCCAGGGGCCGCAATATAGCCCGGCCATAAATATGGTCTAATAGCTAAACGCGTTTCTGTGATCTCTCCACGGGTGATCCTCGTCCACACGGTGGCACTTTGTGTCATCGGATGTTTATCCTTGTGTGATGTCCTGGTGGGGTAGAAAGAAGATATAGAATCCATATACTACCCATTCCACCCTATAAATCCTCAGACTCAAAGACTTGTTTGTGTTCCTGCAGAGTCTGTGTATTCGTGTTGCCATGCAATTTTCATGAGGGTCAGGTGCGTTTGATAAAGCTACTCATAAAGGAATATTCAAAGCTTGACCTGTGACCTGTGACCCGTGATCGTGGTGCTTGCAGCTCATCAGCAGATAGATAACAAGCCCCAAGCTTCCCTGTGTGGCTTTTGCGGTCCCATAGTGGGGAAAACTCAAATAGACTCACTGCCTACATATTACCATCTCCTAAGAGTTGACTCACTGGGAGCTTCCTAAGAAGTCAGAGAGCGTATGTCTGAGGGGCAAGGGTCCATCAGTCTGCATACACATGATTCAGAACTGTAAAACGGATGTGCAGGCTCAGGTTCTGAAACAGGACTAGAGTCCAGAAGTGGACGAACAACCAGAACTTCCCAGGAGTTTACAGTCGGTGAACGCGAAAGAGAAAAAGAATCCCAACGTTTTAAATTACACCAACCACATTTTAAATTACACCAACCACATTTTAAATTACACCAACCACATTTTAAATTACACCAACCACTTTTTAAATTACACCAACCACTTTTTAAATTACACCAACCACTTTTTAAATTACACCAACCACTTTTTAAATTACACCAACCACTTTTTAAATTACACCAACCACTTTTTAAATTACATCAGCCTCCTTTTAAATGACACAAACCACCTTTTAAATGACATCAGCCAATCTAAGGAAACGCTAAAAGTTATAAGCCTTTAAATGTACCGCTAATGGAACAATTTTCCGTAAATTCTTTTTGTGTGTGTGGGGGGGGGGGGGGGGGGGGGTGGGGGTGGGGGAGAAATAATAAAGCACACATTTGCAAAAGAAAAACATAGAAATTCTTCTTCGCGTTCACCAGCTGTAAACTCTGGTGGAAAGTTTCGGTTGTTCATCCACTTTTGGACTGCTGTCCTGTTCCAGAAGCTGAGTGTTGCGTGTGCATTCGTTTTACAGATCTGACTCATTTGTATGCAGACTGCTGGTTCCTTGCCTCTCAGGCAGATGCACTCAGGCTTCGAAGGAAACTCCCAATTAGTCCTTACGACATGCTTTTGGGTAGGCAATAAAGATGTATTTAAAAAACCTATCTTAAATACTATAAATTCATTAGTTTATCAGGAATCCAAATGCATGTCTTATGATGTGAGACTGATAACCTCACCATTCAACCAAATGCTCTTTGAAAAATAATTATGCCATTTGTTGCAATTCTAACAAATGAAAAGCTTTACTAAAAAGCAAGGAGTAGAATAAGACGGTAATATCATATTAAATAACTGAGATAAGATCAGGTATTATTTGAAATGTGCATATTTAAATGGCTACTTCTTAATTCGACTGATCTTTTTAGACTTGTCATAGACTTGTCATAGACTTGTCATAGACTTGTCATAGACTTGTCATAGTCTTGTCTTTGGTTTTTGGTGGTGGCGCAGCACTTGCAGCGATGTAGCGGCAATACAAGAATTTGTATGTATCTGAACGAATGTAGTCAAACACGTGTGAGATGCCCACTTGAAACTGATCTGCAATAGGTGCCACCCACGGATTACCATCCGCCTTAAAAATCTGCTTGGTCCCGACTAAATCCAGATTTTCCATTTCAGGAGGTAGAACAGTCAATCTGTTGCCTTGAATGTGAAGCTCCTGGAGTCGAGTCAGCTCACCAATTTCTTTTGGCAAGGCAACCAGATAATTATCTCGGAGTACCAGAATTTAAAGATTCTCAAGTCGTCCCATTTCTGGAGGCGCAAACTCAAAGTCATCGTCTCCCATGTACAAAGCTCTCAAACTGTCGAGACAAAAGAAGTTAGCAGGCAGGCTATGTTCACTCAGATTATTGTCAGTGTCAGCGACCTCATTTATAATAATTATTTTCTATGGCTCGCTAGGTAGGCCAGCTAACAGACTTCACTACACTGGACACACTCAAGACAATCACCTGCTGAGCACAAACATAATCTTTAATGTACAATACAGCTATAGACACTTCAACTACGCTGGCAGTTCTAATCCGAAACGTTGGCTGTCACAACCCTATGAATACAGTCAGTGGCGGAATGGACCACACCGTAGGGTGTGCGTGTTCAGGTGACACCCCAGGGTTGTCACAAAGGTCAGGGCCGTGACTGGTCAAGTGTGTGCTGTTATTGCACGGTGAAACTAGCGCTCAGGAGAAACCGCTTGGCCACGACAAGAACGAGTGAACTCTTTTGCAGACAAGTTCGCAACACGATTACCCCTTTGGGGACTGAGCTGGTTAACGGGTCAAAAGACACGAGGGGAAAGGAACACGGGAAATTCGATGGACAACGGACAGACGGAGCAGACGTGTTAGCGAGACAGTGATAGTATATAAGAGTTAGGATATTTCTTTGGTGACTGCATAGAGTATTTACAGTGTTCTGTTAGAATAGGATAGGTTTTGTGCTGTGTATTTAACTGGTACAAGGTATTGTGTTGTGTCATAAGCGGTAAATAGGTTCCAGTTACTTCTGACCAGTTAAATCGTTTAGGTATATGTTCAATGAGAGAATGTCTAGCCTTGTCACACTGATCATGCACTAGACAGAGGTGGTGACATCTGGTAGGTCAGCGTGGAGATAGAACGTATCTCGCCTTGCTGTGGTTTGTGCACCAGGAGATTGCCTGTAGAACGTACTGGGGAACGAGGCGATTGTAAAGCCCGTTCGGCCAGAGGTCCAGGCAATAGGTGGCCACACAGCGGGAAGTCAGCTGTCTATTGTATTACCTGTACTTGCAATAAAGATTGTCGTGTGTGCTCTGTGTGCGTTCGGGTTCAGTGTGTGTCAAAGGTTAGTTTGTCTGTCATAGGCCCAGTTACGAGCCACGGACCAGCAAGGTCACCCATAGGTCTGTGACATTGGCGTTGAGCAGCTTTTACATTCACTGGTCAACTCAAGTCGTTCCCATGGATCTCAAAGAACACGACTCCTAGCTGACAGTTTATCAGTGCTAACTTAGCCGCAGTTTATTGCCACACAGGACTCAGTTCACACGTAAGGTGTATGGCCTAAGCGTGACTGGGCAGTGATAACGCCATTAACAATGCGTGTCACACATTCACTAGCTGCTTAACAAATACTATACAAAGAACATTAACTCTACACTATCGCGTCGAAACATTAAATGGAAACACAGACTATCAAAGATACTAAACACAAATCCTATTCAACTAGCCGACACTAACATAATGTACTTTTACCTAGTCAAAACGCTACGTCTGCTCCAGTCCAGTGTCACGACACAACTCTCCCCTGAGTCAGCTCTGATCAAGCTTTTTGTTTCATCACCCGACACGCGGTGGTAGTCCGTGTCAGCTGTGTGAACTGGGCTTGACCCGTTAACTGGACCCAGTTTATTCCGCGTCAAGCTGCCCGCTCTCATACTTTCAGTTTTACTGAAGGTCAACTCGTTCCTACGTGATGATTCACTATCATCAACTCTGTTCAACCCGTAGCCGAACTGGCCTCTGACATCCGCCCCTCCTTAGGAAGGATACTTCCTGACAACAGACGTCCAAGTTCGTTGCCTAAGTCTGTAGTCAAGTATCTCTATCAGGTATGGGATGTCCACGTGGTTGTGTCAACCTTTTAGTTATTTAAATCTAAGATGTCCTATTGTTACAAGTCAATAGTCATTCCACTGATGTAAGGTCAATGTTTATCTAACTTTGACATATTCATTCTTCTGAGTCAGTGACTTGAGAAAATAGTACACATAAGTTTCTTTGGGGTCTGTATACATATAAGGATAGCTCTTCCCTCTGTGGCTACCAATGATGTCAATACCTGTCACAAATATGCCACATATCTTTCCAGCGGTCACCACATGTTCCATTTTCCCTCATCTTATAACATGGACAAAAAATTATGACTGTCTCCTTCTGATGTCTTTGAGTAGTTGTCTTCGGGCTCCCGCCTCTACCAAAACCGCTTTGTTTCTTTGTTTTTGGCTGTCCAATGTATTTTAAGCATTGTTCTGTAAAACCACATCTCTGAGGCCTCAAGAAATGGTTTGGCCTGACTACCGATTGTCCAGGACTTACAGCCATGTGTTAAAACTGGATTATGTAGCAAGCAAGAATTCTTTTTCTAAACTTCAATGACAATGATATATTGCATAAAATGTTCTTCATTTTATAAAATGCAGTTTTTACCTGTCCTATTCTGTTTCTTATTTCAGTAATGCATCTTCCATCTGATGTTATCCATGTGCCCAAATACTTAAATTTATGTACTTGTCCCAAAATAAAACCAGTTACTTTTATTACACATTTAGGAATAATAATTTTCTTTGATATCGCCATTACTTCTGTCTTTCCACTATTCAAACTGATGCCAATTCTTCCACTTTCGTGTATACAATAGATCTAAAAAATTAAATAAATAAAACATCCATAATGTCAAATGTACGCTGAAATTTTTACTTCACAAAATGTAGTACAGAATAGTAAACATTTAAAAACATTTCATGTTTTGCATCCTTCAGTCAGTCAGTCTGTGGTAACTAATACCTAGGAATGAAAATATTCTTAGTTTCATAACAAGTAACCAAACTTGTAAATTGTCACTGACATCTTAGTTAATCCATGAAAGCGGAATTGGCTTTAAACAAAAAAAAAAAAAAAAAAAATTGTTCCATGTTGTCAGCATTAAGGCAGCTTCTTGTTACACTGAAGGTATTTCCAGCTGTACTAAACAGACGTTCATTTGGTACGCTCATAGGTGGTGCACAAAGATAACGTTTGACAGTATGGACCAAGGTGAGAAATCTTGATTTTTTTATTTTCCACCAGTCCAGAAACGGGTGTAAGGTAACGACTATTCGTACTCGGCCCGACCGTAACTATTCGGCCGAATACCGAATAGTTATTAGGTCCACTATTCGGCCCAGAAGCGAATACGAAGCAAATATTAGGTACAACCCTAGTTATAACCCCAAAATATTTCTCCCCATTTCTCAAATGTAAAATTATTGATTAAAATGAAATTGGATTAAAAATTAATTAACAGGAACCTGCAGCTGGGAAAAAATTAAAGTTTTTCGATTCCTAAAGATTGCGAGATGCTAAGCTGTACCTTAGTTATCTTGTATCTAATTCCAGCACTAAGTTACATATAGGACCCATTTCCACGCCTTTAGGCGTGTAGGGCATATAGGACTAGACCTTTATTTTCATAGACCAATCGGCACAAGATTAGTGATGTCGCCTTTACTTCCCGGGACTGCACCCGGTACCCACTCAAGGCTTGGTCGACCTGGGAGTCAAGGTCTTTTTTGAAAAAAGTCCTGGCCCGCCAGGGAGCGAACTAAGTAAAATATAGTCATATATATACACACACTTACATATTCACTCGCACGCGTATAGACACGGATACATAGAAACATCCAGAGGGCAGACACAGAGAGAAAAACTTAGAACGCCTGACGACAGGATATAATGAAACAAGCACACAGACTTGATCCAATGTACATGACTGGGGTCAGATAGTGAAACTATGACCGATCACGCCTGTCGATTGTGCGCGTGATGATGCTGATGACTGTCACGAATACAAGCGGATGTTATTTATTATAGTAGTTATGGGCATTTACGTCATCAATGCTTTCTGTG